GGGACATTGCTCGTGAGCGAATTACCCGTTTTACGCTTAGAGTGGAAAATGCTTCAGCAGGTCATGCTGCTATTACAGGACTTGGGTTCAGAAGTGATGGTCCAGACGTTCTTCTATTTGCAGCGACTCCATCTTCTATTAGCTTGTTCAATCTCCAATATCAACCAGCAAAAAGACAAACCTTGGATCAGATTGGGTGTAATACAAAAAGTGTTGCAATGAGTGACCGCTCGGTATGCTATTTTAAATTTCTTTGATATTTGAAAGGTAATTCTCATGCATAATAAATATTTGATAAATGACTTGTGCCAAAAATTTAACTGTAATCAGGAGCTAATTATTGGTCGACCTGAAGCTGTGTATTTTTATGAAGATGATGGACGTGGTCCTTGCTGGGCATTTGAAGGAGACAAGAGATTCCTCGGATGGTTCCGTGGATATCTTTTGTGTGTAATTGCAGATCAAAGAAGTACCAAGAATACATTTAATATATATGACCTGAAGAACCATTTAATAGCACACAGTGCTACAGTTAATGAAGTCTCACACATGCTCTGTGAATGGGGCAACATAATTCTCATCATGGCTGATAAATCAGCCATTTGTGTGGGAGAGAAGGATATGGAAAGCAAGTTAGATGTGCTTTTTAAGAAGAATCTCTATTCTGTAGCTATTAATCTTGTTCAAACTCAGCAAGCTGATGCTGCTGCAACCGCAGAAGTCCTTAGAAAATATGGTGATCACTTATACAGCAAGCAGGAGTATGATGACGCTATGGCTCAGTACATCCACACTATTGGTCACCTTGAACCTTCTTTTGTGATACAGAAATTCCTGGATGCTCAGAGGATCCACAATCTAACCAATTACTTGGAAAATTTACATGAAAAAGGGCTTGCGTCAAAAGATCATACTACTCTCTTATTGAATTGTTACACTAAGCTAAAAGATGTTGATAAGCTGAATTATTTTATTAAAAGCGAGGATGGTGGGGAGCATAAGTTTGATGTAGAGACTGTGATACGAGTCTGTCGTGCTGCTAATTATCACGAACATGCGATGTATGTTGCTAAAAAAGCAGGTAGGCATGAGTTGTACCTGAAGATTCTACTGGAAGATCTTGGTAGATATGATGAAGCCTTACAGTATATTTCAAGCCTTGATCCTAGCCAAGCTGGGTTTACAGTTAAGGAATATGGAAAAATTCTTATAGAGCACAAACCAAGGGAGACCATACTTATACTCCTGAAGCTCTGTACTGAGGATGGAAAACCTGCCAAAAAGGGTACCTTATCCATGTTGCCATCTCCTGTTGATTTTCTCAATATCTTTGTACATCATCCACGATCTTTAATGGATTTTCTTGAGAAATACACTGATAGAGTGAAGGATACACCAGCACAGGTGGAAATTCACAATACCCTGTTGGAATTATATTTATCCTATGACTTGACCTTCCCCTCGATGTCACAGTATAGCTTCAATGGAGATCTTGGTGACAAGGAATCAATATCATCTGGAGTTGGAGCAGTGTCAAAACCTTCATCAAATGGGAAACTATCACTGAGTGACGATGAGAAAAGTCGTGCTATAAGACGTGAGAAAGGATTGCGGTTGCTTAAAAGTGCATGGCCATCTGACCAGGAAAATCCGCTTTATGATGTAGATCTTGCTATAATCCTCTGTGAAATGAATGCATTTAGAGAAGGGCTTTTGTTTCTATATGAGAAAATGAAACTGTACAAGGAGGTGATTGCTTGCTACATGCAGGCCCATGAGCATGAGGGGTTGATTGCATGCTGTAAGAGGCTTGGAGATTCAGGTAAGGGTGGAGATCCCGCTCTTTGGGCTGACGTATTAAAATACTTTGGTGAACTTGGAGAAGATTGCTCCAGAGAAGTTAAAGAGGTCTTGAAATATATTGAGAGGGATGACATTTTACCACCTATTGTTGTACTTCAAACATTGTCCCAGAATCCATGCCTCACTCTATCTGTAATTAAGGATTATATCGCTCGGAAACTTGAACAGGAGTCGAAGCTGATTGAAGAGGACAGGCTGGCCGTTGAAAAGTATCAGGTAAGCTTTTGCCAGTTTTCTAGCCTTGTGTTTATGCAAATAGTTATGTACTTTCCTACCAATTTTAATGGTGGATGTTACATGACCATAATTATTTTTTTGGGTAGCCTTTTCTGGTAATCTATGCCAAAGAAAGTAGCATTGTGTGATTTGTATAGATAAAAATATTTCAGACAGCTGCTTTAAGTGATGAAATTTCTTTTTTGATCAGTATGTAGCTGTGGTATGTGGATATAGTAATGAAGATGCATTTATGTCATATATGGTATCTCTCCTGTTCAACAGACTATGACATATTTAGTAACATTGCAAAATTGCATCTCTTTAGGTAAAAACACATTGATGTCCTTGGTTCATGGTTGCTTCAGGATATAAAATGCTCAGAAGTTCTTTTATTTTTTCCCTACTGTTGAAGCAAGCTAATTTTTTTTTCCGGATGTTACACGAAGTATATCGTGTAATTGATGTTCCACGAAAGAAGAATTTGAACAATGTGGGATTTATGATTTTGCAGGAGGACACATCAGCAATGAGGAAAGAAATTGAGGATCTGAGGACAAATGCAAGAATCTTTCAGCTCAGCAAGTGTACTAAATGCACTTACACTCTTGATCTTCCAGCAGTCCATTTTATGTGTATGCACTCTTATCATCTGCATTGCCTTGGTGACAATGAAAAGGAGTGTCCCGAGTGTGCTCCCGAGTACATGTCTGTGCTGGAAATGAAGAGAAGCTTGGAACAGAACTCAAAAGACCAAGATCATTTCTTTCAGAAAGTTAGGAACTCCAAAGATGGATTCTCTGTTATTGCTGATTATTTTGGAAAAGGAATAATCAGCAAGACAAAACCCAATGAAGATTCTTCTTCCGACAGTGGCTTTTGAGGGTCTAATTATCTAAGTATTTGTCCAGGTTTCTTATGTTCCCAACTAATTACCCCGTATCAGTGGATTACGGATTATATTGATGAGTTATAGACTGTGTGGCAGTAACAACTAACAAGGCTGGATCTGGGGCCAAAGTTGTGATTATCTTAGTTTGCCAACATCTTGACCCAGATTATCTAGGAGTTACTGCATTTATAATTGCATTATTTAAGATGCTCCTCACCAGTTGCACGATGATTGTTTGGTTTTGTGAAGGATCCTACTCGGGAACACTTTGTTTGATATTTGAGATGCTTATATATTTGCGCAAGTTTTGAAATAATGGTAGGTAGCAGCTCCATCTTAGAATTTTCTCCTGTAGATGAGGCTGAAAACTGAGGAATTTTATATAATCATAAAAGGAATATCTGATTCCCTGATGATGCTTCTTGTTCAGTGTATGTATTATATTGTTCACTCTGTTCATTGTATGTATTATATTGTTCACTCTGTATTATATTGTTCACTCTGTTCATTTTCCTGATTATTTTTTGCTTTTTACGTACCACTAATATTATGATAGATGATTCCCAATTGCTGCTTCAGTGGAAAAATGTTTTTGTATCTCATACTTTTGTTCCACCTTTAGATGAATAGATGCTTCATTTTCGTAAAATGACAATAATTCGCAAAGCCTGTTGCTTTGATGATTTGAATCAGTGAGATACAGGTTTGTTGACTCAGAATTGCTCGATTGCATTGATCTTTCACATTAAGGCTACTATTGCACCCTTCTACTGTCAATTGCTTTGGCTCCTGTATACTCTTTCCTTTTCTTGCTCTATCTCCTTCTCTCCCTAAATTCGCTCTTTGGACCAATGTCTCTTCTCTGCAGCAATTTTTATTCAGAAGCTCATCCGCATCAGGATTGGCAAGCTCTATCGAGACAGAATCCACATCTTAAATCTTAAGTGTAGTGGTTGAAGGATCTAATGGGAAGGTCTGCATCAACTGAAACTGTATGTACTGGTTCTTTTGACCCATGCCACATTGAAGTGGTGAATTTTCCTCCTTAATCCTTGCTGAGTTACTGCCTGCATTCAATTTGTTGCCATTTGCCAAGTTACAATTACAACATGCTATCATTGTCTATCTGTATTGCAAGTTGCAATGCCAATGGTCTTTTTTAACAGATAATAAACCAATCTATCCTCAAATATAAGAATCAAATCTAGTCATTATCAAATCCACACTTACATTAAACAATAACATAAAATCACAACCATAGACCATGCAACTTTTTACACTGTATGAGATGCTACCTACAAGTTTGGACAATTTCATCCATACCAATATATAACTTTTAAAAGTACATCATTCGTCTCAAATTCGCTGTTTCATTTGCTTAATGATAGTGTCCATTGTTCAAGAGTCAACCTTGACATAAAATCTTTAATCACACATTGATTAAAGTATATAAAATTAAAATTTAAAAAACCCACATCTAAACAACATACTTTGTAATCAATCTTTATCCATTATTGTACTTTTTACAACATTTTTTTTAAAAGTTTTACAAATATAACAACATACGAGTACTACGAATTCATTTAGGAAATAAACATTTACCGCACTTTCTTCCATATTCATTTCACTTCACCTTATTTTTGCTTAACTGTAATTATTTTCACTGAACTTAAATTATTGTTTACTGATTTTTACTGAACTGAAATTATTTTTACTAAATTGAAATTATTTTTGCTGAATTGAACTTATTTTTACGGAACTGAAATTAATTTTACTAAAATAGAATTATTTTTACTAAATATTATTTTTTTTTGAGGTGAAAGTGAACAGGACCTTAGTAGACATTATATATGGATGAGTATTATTGAAAAATCATTGCCAAAATTAATAAACTTTGATGTCGATAACGACGATAAGTCAAATCGATTAATCTAACGACAAATTTAAGAGAGGAAAATTATTTTTTAAAAAAATGTTTATTTTTTAAAAATATAAATTATCCCCCTCACAAATCTGGGTTACCAGCTAATCCACGTTCTCTCTCCACTTTCCATAAATACAAAATACCCCCCAATTTTCCAATTTCCATTTTTATAATTTATCCTCGCTTCATTTTTCTGGTTTCTTCTTCCTTCTTTCCTTTTTGTAGGTGGCTGGGTTTAGTTTCTTGTTCATCTTCACGATTCAATTCCCAACCCATCTACAATCAACCCAATCTAATCAAATCAATTCAATTTCCAATAAAAAATGGCTCGATCTCTTTCTCAAACCCTAACTCGATTCCCCAATTCTCTCTCCTCCGCAACTTCCACCCGTTTCGTCAATTTCCGGCACCGGTCTAACTCGGCAGAGGTGTTTTCTGGCGAAAATATGGCGGCGGAGGAGGTGGAGAAGGTTGCGATGAAGAATCTAGAAGATGCAATTCATAAAATTATTGTGAAGAAATCTCAACCTGATTGGATTTCTCTTGTTCCTGGGGCTTCTTATTGGGTCCCACC